AACAAAGTTAGGGATAATTGTTTATTACCTCTCATACAAAAAACACTACACCTCTCAATATCAGTTTCTAATAGGAATGCTCTATTTTGATTTTATCCTGTTAAGTTGGCTTCTAAGGGGCATCTAGTTGGCACTATGGAAACAGATTGCCGGTCTCAATAGGTTTTTGATTTGATCCAATTCAAGTACATTTATATTTTCAGGTTCCTAATTTAAATGCAGGAAGTTATCTTGGAAGGATTTCCCACATGTTAGTTTGATCTTAATATACAGTGCATAAGAACACATACATTGTGTGTGTGTGTGTGTGTGTGAGAGAGAGAGAGAGAGAGTGCGTGAGAATATCTTGCTCTGGGAAATAATTTATTTGTTAAATACTTTTTCCTGTAGGCTCACTACAATGTGACATTGACTAACTTAATAAATCCAGATGAGTTGCTACAGGAAATAATTGCTGTCCTTCCAAAAAAACAAGTTGAATATGTACAGAAAGGGTAAGTAGGGTAAATATTCTTGAGTTCTGCCCATGATGGTGATAGCTTTCCCAAGATCTGTGTCAGAAATTGCTTTGTGCCATGTCATATTCTTCAGGAAAAATATTGCCTGAAATATCAACAATCCAGGTCTGAAGCTGCTCATTTTGGCCTGTGTGGCAGAAAAAAACAATCTGTTATGGCTTTCTTATGTCTTAGTGATGTTTATTGGTTTTCCAAGAAAGTTGAATCATTACATCTTCCCGAAAATAAAAACCCAGGGTTCTTTAAAAAAAAAAAAAGGCTGGTCAGTAGCCTCACTTTTGCTTCTTTTTGTTTTATCCAGTTATAAACTGAAGTGTCAGACCCAGTCAGACTATGGCAAAGTGACAATGCAGTTTGAATTGGAGATTTGCCAGCTAAGCAAACCTGAAGTCATGGGCATTAGAAGGCAACGGCTGAAGGGTGATGCCTGGGTCTACAAAAGACTAGTGGAAGACATCCTGTCGAGCTGCAAGTTATAGATCTCCTAGTCTATTATGGATATACAGACAGTTCTATCTATGCTAGTCAAGCTTATTTCAATCCGTGTAGTATATTTTGTTTTAAATAGAAACGTTTTTGTCAATAAATATGGCCTACTATGTCTCTGTCTTCACTTTGTCTTTTTATGCATGCATGTGATTTCTGTCTCTGTGTGGATGACCTTGGTGATCGAGAGAAAGAAATGCTGCCTAGGAAACAATCTAAGGGGCAGGAGCTCCAAGAAGCTAAATGGTCAGAAAGAAACTTAAGAAGGACCTTTCCTTAATGGATCAAGCAGTTAAAAGTGGCAGCAGGAAGTTGGCACCTTCATCCTTGCAAGNATAAAAATCTTCACCAACCCAAAGGCCTATTTAATGTGCCACTATCATTAGCATAAGGGCCAGTTGGTAATTTTTGATGCTCATAACACATGAACACACCAGCTCATCCCCACAGTCACTTTCCCAGTAATGGATAATAAGCCATTCTCTTTTGAACCTAAGGTTCATCTCCATTAATAGAAATGTACTCTCTGAATGTGTTTAATCTCCCTTTGAAACTCTTCTAAGTTAATGGTTGTCACCAGAGCCTGATTTTCTTCAAAGCTTTAAATAATGATGACATGATATAAGCATATTTGACTGCTACAATCATTTCCACACCAAGTTGGTTAATCCATGGATGAAGTAATAAAACCGCCCCCAAGACAATCCTTAATTCCAAACATGACTTGCCTCTGCCTTTTGACTGGTAGCCCTTTGGAAGCCGGTGTCATGTGGAGAAAAATTATTCATGTTTGTGACTGTTGGATCCCAGAATTTTGGCCAAATGAAGTCAGCCAATATTTTAAACATACAATGGGCTTAAAGTAATACTATAATAAAAAAGAAAGCACTGAAGTTTGGAATATAAATAAAACTATGGGGGCAAAACAAAGATTTTCTGAATCAATGAGGAGCTGAGGCTGTAAGTCTAATTATCCAACTGTGTTTTACTTAATTAAGCCAATCTATTAACCTGAGGGAATTATTGAGCTGACAGGTATAACTTATGAAAATGGGGTGCAGTCTTTTAGGAAATAAGCCAGTACAAATGCCATATGGAATGCTTAGCTTATGTGTGAAAGCTACCAACCATGATAGCAAAGAGAGGGAAGAGAGAGAGAGAGCCTTTAATCTTTTATTCCATGGGAGCCTATAAAAGGAAATGGAACCATATGCACAAAATTTCAGCTGGTAGGATGAAGTGATTCCAGTTTCCATTTCTCCTGTGCAAAGAAAGGTTGGTAAGTTAATCACAAAAAGAATTAGGTTTGTCCCTGATGGACACATTCCAATATGACAG